TCCAAGAGTACTTCCTGGGGAATTTGGCACAGAAGAGTCAGTCGACAGAGACAGGTGAGTTTCTTTTGAATGCACTTTTATGATATATATTTTTTGATTATTTTTAATACGTTATAGAATGTTTTAGTTGTTTCCTTATTGCACTAAAGCTAGGAATTTATTTTTTCAGATAAAGTTGAAGAGGCAGAAGATGTCAAATCAACAGCTGAAACAGAAGTAAGTATAATAATGATACTTTGATAATCAGCCAAATTCACCAGGCTAGCCCTCAGTTCTCACATTTGTCACCTCGTTTCTGTTGCCTTCTCTCTTTCCACTGGTGTTCAGGTGCCCACCAAGAACATAGAAGGTCAGCTCACTCCCTACTTCTCGTTGGAAATGGGAAATGGGACTCCTTGTGTGCTGAAACAGAACCAGCCTCGTTCCACGTCCGTGTTGTATGTCTGTCATCCAGAGGCCAAGCATGAGATCTTGTCTGTCGCTGAAGTCACAACCTGTGAATATGAGGTTGTGGTGTTGACACCGCTGCTTTGTGCTCACCCAAAATACAGGTAGAGCTGTCAGAACGACTATGTGTGAATATTTTTCTCAAAGGAATACGCCTCAGTAGTAGAAGTATGTTGACGTTTCTGTTTTGGAAATTCTGAAATGTTGTTTTAAGATTAGTCATCCCTGTGGATCAGGGTTCTACTGAAATGTATTTTCCAGCAGGCGAGACATCCGGCTGACATCTTACTGTTTCTGAACTTGACATGTATTCCTGGCAGGTTTAAGTCGTCCCCGGTGAACGCGATCTTCTGCCAGGCTCTGGCAGGCTCGCCCCTGCGGCCTCAGCAGCTCGCCCAGTTGGACAAGGAGCAGGAGGAGCAGCTTAAACCACCCTTCAGTGCCACCTCTGAGACCAGAGAGGTGAGACATGCACAGAAAGATGACAGAGGGGAAAAATTGGTACGATATGTACCAACGATACTGGGCTCAGTCTTATGTTTGACTTGTTACAGGAGGAGGCGCCACCAGTGAGAGAGGAGGCATTCTCCTCCACTCACAAACCCATGACTGTTGGAGGGCAGTCCCAGGTCACTGTCGGCACCACTCACATCTCTCGTTTGACAGATGACCAGCTAATCAAAGAGTTCCTCAGTGGCTCATACTGTCTGCATGGGGTGAGGCATGTTCACCTATAGCACCCGAGTAGTGTTTAATAAACTATTCAGTGACTTCATCTTAATGTGTGTTTCAGGGAGTCGGGTGGTGGAAATATGAATTCTGTTACGGAAAGCATGTCCATCAGTACCATGAGGTAAGGGTCCCTCCTTGCTACTGTGAGTGCGTTTGTGTGGAAGCTGGGTCAACTGGTTATGTGGATTGGCTGTAGGGATGCAATTAACAAGTATTTTCACAATTAATCAATCTGCAGATTAATGTTTCAGTTAAATGTTTCATCCATAAAATGTTAAAAAATAGTGAAAGACACCACATCACCGTGGTTGCTGATTAATTTTTTTACTAATTGATAAATTGAGTGGTTGTTCCAGTTCTACTTGGCAGTTAAATACGGAAAAGTTAGTTTACAAAAAGATTTGTAATTGCATAAAAATGGTGATTTTGAATGAATATGTAAGATTGTTAGGTACATTATCTTGTATTTGTACAGTAATGAATATGTTCCTTGGCTCTCCAGGATAAAGAGCAAGGAAAGAACATTGTGGTGGTGGGGAGCTGGAACGCTGAGGAACACATTGAGTGGGCCAAGAAAAACGTTGCCAGATCATACCAGCTCAAAGACGACGGCGTGCAGAAAGTCAAGTATGTCATTCATATTTCTGAACCCTAACCTGGATGTAAATTGAGATTATCGTTGACTTTTCCTTTCCCTCTGTTCATTTCCTCTGATCCATGACAGGTTGGTTTCCCACTTTTATGGCCACGGGGATGTTTGTGATCTGACAGGGAAGCCCAGACAGGTCATTGTCAAGCTCAAGTGAGTGAACAGTCGTTGTAGCACCAGTTCAGTGTCACTGCCCTGAGTCAATGTGTGAGTAAGAGAATACCCAAATGTTTCCGTGTTGATTCACTCATCTCATTTCTCTTGTCTCTGTCAGATGTAAGGAGTCTGAGTCTCCCCATGCTGTCACTGTCTATATGCTGGAGCCTCAGACTTGTCAGTACATCCTTGGGGTAAGTTCACTATTCACAGTCACTGGGAAAAAAAAAAAAAGCACTGAACCTTAGCTGGAGTACAAACCTCTACTTTAGGTTTGAGAGCTAAATAAAAAGGAAAGTGCTATTTCAAGCTGTGACCAATTCATTAATAATTTACGTCTGTTTCATTGTGGAGTATATGAAAAAATGAATGAACTTGAATAGGTCTTTTTCACAGCAGAAATTTCAACATGTCAAACACAGCTGTAGCCAATAGCATTATTAACTGTTGCATTGCATTGCTACAATTGCTGGAACCCAGCCATCGTTATTCAGTGTTAGTTCCACCTGTGCTTTTCCTGTAGTGACAAGTCTGTGAATGTGATTTATTTATTTGGGAGTTCTAAAGAAACAAATGCTCTAATGCTAGAAAAGTTATCAAGATATAGTTTAGTAAAATGACATGTACAATACAAGATGGACTTTTCCAGAGAGCAGAAAAGAAAAACTGATAGAAAATCAAACTATTTCAATGTATAAACTCTACAAAGGTAACTTTTATTTACATTTTTATTTGCCCACCAGAAAGTGTGGGAGCCACTGCTTTAGCCTCTGTCTTGGTCTGTCTATCAAGTATGTTCTCATACCATATAACAATGATGGGCAAGAAATGTTTTAAACAAGAATGAAAGGGAGGAAGATTTGAAGTTCTATATATAGCTCTACTGGCTGTATACAGACAGGTAGATCATTGGCACTATGTTCAAGCTGGCTGACATATTTTTTCCTCCCCTAGGTTGAGTCTCCAGTCATATGCAGGATTCTTGACACTGCTGATGAACATGGACTTCTGTCACTCTCCAGCTAAACTGACAGAGATCATGTGACAGCAACGGCGCATGAAGGACAAGGAGAGGATAGACAGAGAGAGGTGCACTGAAGAAGAGGGGAGAGGACACTTATGATAAAGCAGAAACCTGTTTGTTGAAGGAAGAGTGATGCCCATGACACTGCGCTAGAAGCCAAAGTCAAGGTTAAACAGAGGTTAAACTTGATCCTGAGGCTGGACTTCATGTGGCTCAGGAGCACAGCCTCAGCTCAATGCCCTGATCTGTGCAATGGACGACTCTACATCACAGCCTAATCCAGCAGGCTAACTCAGACTTAGTGAAAACAAAGTGAAATGGGGCTGACGCCGCACTCCACAAGGCAGTGGGTTTATTGCCTGTACTTAATATCTGTGCTTCACTTTGTGTTGATTAATTTCAAGTAAATGAGAGACATATCAGGGGATTCGTAATTATCAGGGGAATCAACAATATTCATGGTGGTTTTATTGTCTTTAAGGTTGGTAATAGTGAGTGTGTGTGTGTGTGAATGTGAGTGAGAGATATATGAAATGGTTAGCTGTTTGATTGTGGCACTTTGTATTTGTAGATATGAAAAGAAGCAAGTCTGAAAACGTTTTTTTGCATCAGCGTGAATGTGTGCTGTGTTCATTTACAGGATGAGTGAGTGTAACTTATGCATTGGAACGTGCCGTGGAATAGCAAGAAAAGTGATTGACTTCTTAGGATGTACAGAATGTCTGTGGGCTCCTATCAGAGGTATTCTGTGGTTATATGAAAATGCGCACTTGGATCCTGATTACTGCTGTATCACAGAGATAAAAACCAATGCATTTACAGGAAAGAATAAAACTAAAACATGAAACCTAATTAATAGTGTTGAATTACCACACAGAAGAAAAGATATTTGACTTGACCGAGACATCTTGGCAACAAATGTCTTTGATTAATAATTATAGAGATATTCAGTTAGTTATTATGATGTAGAATTTTCATTTTGTTTTTTTCTTGCTATTAAGTTTTTTGTCCTTCAGTCAGATGCTATGATTTAAAAAAAATGGAGGTGTATTACCATAGTAAGTTAGTAGTCATGGTCAATTTAAGGCCACCAGAGGGTGCTGACGCTATGCGTGTAGTATTTTAGTATTTAGTATTTCTTTCATATATCCTAAGAAAACAACTGTAACTATAAAAGAACAGTTGTCACTGCAGTGATTTCCATTTTTAATCTCAGCCATTTCACAAACCTTCAGTTGAGTCAAACTGACTGAACTGAAGGTTTGTGAAACTCTGCAAAGCGTCATCTATAACTTCACTATATCAAGTAAATACCAGGTCAATAGTCATTAAAAATCTAAGCAGCATCTGAACTGGTTGATTTGCAGTTCAAATGCTTTACATGGAAATTTAAAAATAAAGGAAAAATATTTATATATACGTGTGTATATAATATATATTTATTTGATGTTTTTATAGCATTTTATAGCTATAGAGCTTTAGAGCTATAAAATGCCAGTTCAAACAGTTTTTTTCCTCTGACTTATCACTTTAAGTATGTTGTTTTCACAATATCAACATAATGACGCATAACCCCAACAGACATGAGGCCTGAAATACTGTCAAGCAACCAGCATTACTGTAATTTCATTAACCACTGACACTGCTGCCAGTTAACATTAAAACTAGGGCTGCAACTAGTGATTCATTTTTGATTACTTTGACAGTATTTTCATGATTAATCAATTCATTGGTTTTTCTATAAAATCTGATAAGAAAATTGTGTTTAAGTTTACAATCATACATGACAAAGAAAAGCAACAAATGCTCACATTTTAAAAGCTGGAGCCAGTGAAAGTTTGACATTTTTGCTTGAGATGAAAATAATAAAAATTTAATTTTATGTCAGTAATTATTGATTAAGCATTTCAGCTCTAGTTAAAAAAAAAAAAGTGAAAGCACAGATCCACTGGACTTGCCAAACATTTATTGTTTTAAAAAGTGTATGGGGTTCACAAATACATTTTTCTTAAGCAGAAGTCCATCAAAGTGCAACCACATGCCATTGACAGCCACACGTGGGCCTGTGCAGGGTTTCACAGCAGCTCGCATCTGATATCAGTGCTCAGCAACGTCAGCCAGACAGGAGGCAGCAGTGAAACCAGCAAATGCAGTCCTTGCCTGCAATGAAAAACTACAGTCTTGGGCATATCTGTGAATAACACAGTGGCAGATTTAAGTGAAAATGCTCTGTATCTGTTAAAGAAAAAAAGGTAAGTTAATTCAATGGCATTAATTAACTTTCTGGAACAGACACCTTCATTACAAATCTCTTGCTAGTTTTTAGTGTCAAAAAGCTTATGACTGGTTCTTTAATTTTTCCACGAAAAAAAACGTAACATGTACTTTCACTGTAAAAGAGAACAAGAGATTAATACTGTTTCCAAATACATAAAATGGACAGTGTTTATGTTCCTCTTGATTCACATTTGAGTTAAAGCCATGGTGAGATTGTCCAAACCATACTGTTTAGCAGCTCTTTGATTAGACTGAGGGAATGGGAATCTGGTGCACTGAGGTGCTTTCAAAGTCCTGTAGTGCATCTTGGTGAGTGTGATAGTGCATGGCTACATATGACTTGGCAAAGGCAAATGTCTGAGAGCTGACAGGCTGCAGGCTGGTGGGGGAGCTGGGCCCTGCAGAGGGACTGCTGTTGTATATACTGTAGTAGGGCTCAATGCGGGTGTTGATAGGTGTTGAGGTACTCGGCGGGCGAGGTTTACGCACACCTGTGGCCCTTGGACTCCCAGCACAATCCCTGGAGTGACTGGGCCCACAAGCCTGGTCCACTAGCCTCCTCTGTGGCTTTGGTGACAGTACGTAGGCTGAGTTTGTCTCATGATGAGAGGATTTATTGCGATTGACTTCAAGGCTGCCCTTCCCCATCGCATGCAGACGAGTCTTTTGCTTGCAACAGAGAAAGCCCAGCGCCGCCCACTGAATACAGCACAGCACACGGCGGCGGAGGCCTGCACTGTTGCGTGAGTACACAAAGGGATTGATGCCTGACTTGAGAAAAATGAGCACAAAGCCGCACAGTTCGAACTGGTAATGTGCAAAGCTACTTTCTGGTGTCAAAACATCCTGTGCCAGTGAAACTCCCATTGGCAAGCAGCAAAGCAGCACAGAGAACACTATAACAACACAGGTGACGACTGCCTTAGAGTCTTTGGCTGTGGCCAAGTTGACTGTAGACACCAGCTGACAGCAGGTTGCTCCTTGGGCAGCCCCTGGAACCAGAGGCTGGCTGGTCCTGTTGGCATATGAGTGTGTCTGAACATTCTGCAGTTTGTTGTAAGTCTGGTTACGGTACAGAGAAGGGCCTTGAACAGCACACTGCATGCTCTCAAAGCCTGCTGCAATGAGAGGTGGTGGGGGTGGAGGGCATGTGGCATCTACCGTCATGATGGGACATTTCCTCACTTGTGCATTCTTCCTTAGTGTTTGAGCAATCATCAGATAGGATACAGACACCACAGCTACACAAAAGGCAAAGTCTGCCAGGTAGACATATAACACAACCCTGGCCTGTCCACCTCCCAGGCCAAAGTGGGGCAAGCAGGGTCCATCTCCATGTGGGTATGCTCGCATGGTAAGGAGGGCAGCCATGGTGAAACTGGATGTCCACAGCAGGGCAGTGAGGGCCAGCGTGCGGGGGAAGGAGGCAGTGCGGTTGGGCTGCTGCCCTAAAACCATGCGTAGTCTGTGCAAAGCAATGACAGCTACCGTCTCCAGGGACATGATGATGAAACCCGAGCTGGTCAAGTGGAAGGCAAAGCAGAAACTCTTCGATACGCCATCCCCTCCGCCTGCATCCAGGAAGAGCACCAGTGCAAACATGGGAGCAGTCACACAGCAAATGAACAAGTCACAGAAGGATAGGTTCAGGATCATGAAGTCAAAGTTGGTGCGGAACTTGCGAAAAGCTGGGTCAAAAAAGGACAGGAACACCACAAGATTTCCATAAGAGCCCAGGCAGAAGATGAGGATGAGGAGCAGAGAGCAGAAGGTCAAGGTAGCAGTGTGAATCACAGCCCAACCTGACGGGGTCTGTGTGCCCAGGGTGCCATTGAAGGTCTGATGTCTTGGCACATCCACCAGGTCTGATGGTGTAACAGTGGTGTTCATTGTATTGTTAACAATTTATAAGGATCCCACAGTCATCAATTTCAACATTATTCCTCTATATGGAGGGAGTAAATGATGATTACAGTATCTGCTGCCTCCGCCATTGCTGCCACCTTGGTAGAATGCTAGAAAGGATACAAAGTCATATATTAACTATTGTATTGTGCAGTAGATCATTGAATACATTCACAGCTGATAATAGGGAGCAATACGTAATTTACCATTGACGGGTACATATTTAATAAGAAGCTGTGGTGCTACATGTCAGACACAAGCTACAGTAGGCTATAGCTATGCACCACTGCATTTGGCCAATTATACCTTACCACCACCCCCCCACCCAACCCCACCCCACCCCCTCTCCCCCAACACATACACACCGTCTGCTGAAATCCAGAGGAAATATGTATTCATATATTCGAAGTGGTTACATGGCTTGGATTATCTATACCGACGAAAAGAAAATATAACCTACCTGCTGTAATCGATCGTGTGTCCATCATCATAATCATCACCATCTGATACAGCCCATCTTCATTTTAAATCAGTATGATAGTAAGTGAACGCACAGCGGCTTAAAAATAAAAAACAAACAAAAAAAATGTCTTCAACAGCAGCTCATTCAAAACAGAATGCTGACATAAAACACGTTTCCTTACATGTCTGTATTTTTAAAGCCTTCACAGCGCAAACAGATGAGAGCATATTCGTTTTCTTGGCGATATGGATCCATTCTTATACAGGAGCGACGGCCACTGGACTTGCACTGAAAAATGAGTATGAAGTCACTGCCTACGTATGTGGGCATGAGCATAACCACTGCATTAAAGTAGTCCATCTGTAAAAACTAGCCTCTCTTCTTCACATTTATGATAATTAAACAGAGTAAGAACGGCCATTTTCCCAGTTTCTACTTCACTGTTACAAGATTTGAAAGAGACCGTTACACCGTATTCTGTGACGTCAGTTATTTTACCGCAGGAAACGATTTTTTCACCATGGCAACATACTTAAGCTTTTATGACCCATGTTAGCCCCACAGTATTTTACCTTGATAACATAGGTTATGAAAGTTACCGTCACTGATGATATGATATTTAAATTGGTTCACAAATGGTTTGAATTTGGCTGTGACAACAGAAACTGACGGTTTATCCGTCTACAATGGAGCCTTAAACTACCTGTCGGTATCAGGTGGTTTAAACAGGTTTAGAATAATAAAAAGCTGTTCCATGTGAAAGCCAGTTAAACCAGCAGCTACCATACAATTTATTGAAAATACTACGGGTTTACACTGATTTTATACCAGCTAGCAGCTTTGGAGTTACTCTATTTACTACATAATAATATTTTAAATAATGAGGGAAAACTTAATAAAAAAACAAAAACAAAACATAAAATGCAGTTTTTGTTAGAAACAATTTATTGTCATCAGTCAATAAGCAAACAGTACATCTAAAAAAGAAAAAAAAATCACTGCAGTTTTGGCACTACGCTATACATAAGTGAGGTACTAAATACTTCAATGCTTTGACTGATTTCAAGTCATCAGGGGAAAACATAAGCAAACCAAAGTCATTTCGATTCATCTCACTGGGTTTTAGAAAAAAGGTAAATGATAGTGACAGTGAGGATAAAAGGGAAGAGGTCACAATTATGAACAGGCAGTTTGGTTATTTTCTTGCACCCAGATACATGAAATGGTGATCAAACTGTGCTCAGGTCCTCATAGCAAACGCATCACACAGCACAGCAGCGGGGAGCTTGCCCTCTCCCTTTCTTTGCAAGAGTAGATGAGAATAGACTCCATTGCTAAAAATTCAGCCATCTACTTAATCTCAGAAATACAGCTGATGAAAAATTAAAAGTTAGCACTTCAAAAAAGTCAAATAAATAAATAAATATGTTTGTGCATATTTGCTATACCATGATATATACATACATGATGCATATAATCATATATAGATCAAACAGCCACACAAACATTGTGTGTTGCAGGTTTAACTCTAATCTAAAGAGACCATTATTCAATAGTCCATTCTCTGTGGCTTTTAACAAACACTTCACTACTGGAGGATAGTAAAGAGTATGTCCTACACTGGACATTGTGTTGGCTCAGAGTTGATTCTTGGGATATAATCCTGAGAAATGTGTGGGACACCAGTAGATGTCTTCAAGCATCCCATAAACGCACACACACACATACATCCCGTGCACATGCACACAAACAAACAAAAAAGAAGAAAAAAAAAAACTGTACAGTAATGTTACAAACTGCAGGTCATTCATCCCTGCTATGATTGATCCTTAAATATTAAGTATAGTAGAAATGTAAATGAGCTAAATACATAAATACACAACTTTTCAATCCTCAGTGCCACAACTCAGTTGCTTTGTGTGGCACTCTTCCCAGGGTTCTGCTGTCTTTCAGTCAAGAACTGGAGCCTTCTCCCCAATGCAGGCTGGTGTCTGTACAGTCTGGGGTTGTCCCAAACTGATACAAGTGAGACACAAACAAACATAATCTTATCCCTCTAAAATGACCCCTTCACCAGCTTCAGTGATGAATGATATTCATGTTGAATGTCTTTTGGGTGTGCTTATGAACAAATTCAGTAAGTACGTTATATTTGGAGAACAGTGTGAGGTTAATATGCTTTACCAGGTTTTAGGCATAGTAACAGGGAGAAACCAGCAAGTCAGTCAGGACAAGCAGCTGGTCATCTGTGAACTGCTGCTTATGTTGCTGCCAGTTGTCATGGTGAGTCCGTCGGAAGTTTGATAGAGTTTTCTTCACAGTCATCTGGAAGGCCACAAACACAAGTTATGGCTATTTTTTCATTTCTTATTCAGTGAAAAAAGTGAAAAGTGAAACTAAGCAAATGAGAAAGGGCTTAAACATCATCTCTCTGCAACAATATAAGGTGATTAGTAGGTGATTACACATACTTCAATGGGTTGTGTGTCATTGAGGTGAGCACTCAGGTCCATCAAGAGCTGGGGCATCCAGGTGGGCACATCATAAGGGCTGGAGAGAATACAAGCGCTCAACCCGAGAACACCAGCATGGCGCCGCACCAGGTCTACAAAAGCACAACAGTAGGGATTTCATTAAAATGAGAGAGAACAGATACTGAATTTATCATCACATATTCTAGAGTAGTTAAATCTAGAGTATTTCCTTACCAGCAGAGGGTATAGTGTCCACTACAGAGCCGAGCTCTCTCTTCCTCTTCTTAGGCAAGGAAGTCTTGCAGAGTGCCTCAAAATGTGCCTGCATGGGGGTGTCCATGGACAGGAAATTGCACTGAAGGAAGCCGCTGAGTGTTGTGGCAGCCATTTCTCTTACCTAGAAAATGATAACAGCAAGAGGAGATGGGAAGTGTGTTGTGTCACTATATTGCAGTACTAATTAAAACACACATTACATTGGTCCAACTGAATACACAGATTAAAAAGATGATTATTTTAGAACTTGCTTCCAGTAATCAACATAATAATGTCCTGAAAGGAACAAGGAAGTAATTGAAAAACTAAAGCAGACATTGCTCACAATTAATTGGAATATGACTTGAGGACTCTGTTAACTGGATACTTGATTGGTATTTTATAATACACTGTAATTCCATAAACATTAGAATGTGAAGTGCCACTTTCTGACACCTTATAAATTAAGGTTAAGGCTTATATATACTAAAAGAACCACATCTTTCAAGAGTCATCCAAAGAGTTTCCCTCTCCCCTCCTTGCTGTCCAAATATAATTGCATTCTTTAATCAAAGTAATAGATTTTTGTAGGAGAAAAAACTTCATGTTTCCTCAATAACAACATTCAGTCTTATTGTAGATACACAAAGCCCATGTATTTTACTTTGATTATTATTTTTGATTGATACATTTTATTGTGGTTATTATCATTATTTTACTAGATGCATTACTATTTACATGTGAAAATATATTTAAAATACATGTCCAATCAATTTATAATGCTTCTTATCTTGAATTTTTTTTCCCCCAAACACAGTTGTAACAGTTCACCCTAAATTCTGGCCATCATGGCATAAATTAACTAGTTGTCTTTTCACTACCCATAAGGACAAACAAGCCCCAGCACCTTACTGACAACCTTTAGCTGCACTGTAAGACGCACATAAGACACAGGATAGCAACAATGTCATTAGGTAGGGTGTTCCACTAATGTGAACACTGGCTAGCTGAATGGAAATAGCAACCAGCTGGGAACTCGGGGGGGCTGTGTTTTTGGGGATGCTTCTCTATAATATGAGCTATAATGGTCTGTTGCACATTTAATGGCTCTATTCTCAATGAAATTCTCAGCAGGAAAGGTGAACTTTAAAATGGGTATTATCCAGATCTTTGAGCAGCATTATCCAGAGGGAAGGCTTCTTTGATTAAATGGGACCACTGGGGCAAATAGGATACACACCAAGTTACACATGTTTCAGTTCCGTATAAACTGTTTTTTTCTTTAGAAGAAAGACACAGTCCTCACAAGTTAAGTTTGGTGTTTTGTGTGACATGCAACTTAGTAATATGATAATACAAAGGGGGTCAATACATGCATAAAATGTATTTTGGTATATATTTCTAATAAAGGTGATTCTGAAACAAGAGATAAATATAAGTGGTATGCAGCTAAGGCTTATGAATCAGACTTCAGGTTAATTTAAGAGGGCAAACAAAAATGGCTACTTCCATCCATCCCCCACTTCTCCTTTGTCTATACTCTATCCCTCTCCCTCTCATCCTCTTTCAATCTGAACGTTATCTCCATAGCAACAGATTACTGCAGCCTGTGGTTTCCATAGCAACAGCTAGAGGACTGGAGGGGGGGTGAGAGTGGAGAGCCAGGAGGAGAGTGCTGAATCACTACAGTGAAGCTGAAAGACAGTGAGAGTGCCTGCTAGCATAAACAAGCATGTATTGCCCAGTAGCTTGGTGATTATTATATAATCAGACTGCCATATGTTAGGTCATCGTCTAACAATGTTCCTGTTTCAATTATCTTCATCTTAAACGGCTGTGAAAGAACGCTTGCTTTTACCTCCAGCTGCTCATCCTCCAGCAGTCTTATCACTAGTGCCCGCACGTCATTCACTGCTTTCTGGTCACTCATGAAGGTGAAGAGGTTGTAAAAAACCATAATCTGGAGGTATGTGAGCACCGTGTAGCGAGCATGCCAGGAGCTGCTGCCAGCGATCTGCAACACACAATAACAGACCCATCCCACATCAATAACAGACTGAGTATTGTTTCACAAGAGGAATAACTAGGCCCTGGATGAGTACACCATTTAGGTTTATTATAACAGAACTAGAACTTCGCTTTGGGGGAATACCACTCTTTTTGAAAATGTATACAAAATTAGCCAGTGTTATATCAAATTAATCTGAATTTGTGAAGACAAAGGCCAAACACTCAATCTCAACTCGTGTGTCCCATCAATCCACAGCTCGGAACGTTCTAATCATTAGTTAATCAACTTTGCATATCATGTTTGTTATTTCTCTTTATTTTCAAATTTATTTTTTGAAATTAAATTTGTTATCATACTGCTACCAGTTGTGCACTAGATGATTGATGATAGAAGATGTACCCTGATGCCTAGAGATTCCTCCAGAATACACTTTTTCATTTGTTTTCCAGTGAGCTGCACATTGTGTGACACAAGATATAGATAACGACACAATATATTATGAATAATTTAAGAACGAATTGTCAGCAAGGCAGACTTGATTCAGTTGTCAA